GGAAGAGGCAAAGATGTGCAGGAGGAAAAAAGGAATGGCCTCTTGGAGCAATACTGCTTGGTTTTTGGAGAGTCATGGAGAAGTCAATTGTGGTGGAAATTGGCATGAAGAACTTGGGTGGGTGGTTTGCTTGTTTGTGTCCCTGAAGCATGGATCTGAGTATAGCAGAATTGGTTCAGAATTCCTTTTGCAAATTTGAGGTGGTTTCTCTTCAGCTACTGCTACTTTCTGAGGAGTTAAACTGTAATCTGTTATCAGTCAAGTAGGATTTGGAAATTGTTCAGTCAGTTTTTGGGGAGATGGCAGAGCTTCTAGGAGGTCTCAAGAAGAGGACACACTTTCAGATGGAGTCCAGAGACAGAAAAGCTTAGGAAGCATATTTGGAAAGGTCAGAGAAATGGAATGTGATTTGAAACCTGTCCTGAGAAAAGGGAAGACAGAAGACCAAGATTTGGAGTGAATACCAGTCTTCTGAAAGTCATCCATAAGTGAGATTGCGCTAGTGAGAGTTTTATGACATAAAAGTTGGATCCAAAGGATCAGGTTGATGATTCTTTTTCTTATTCCTGAAATTCTACTCAGTGGGAAATTTTGATTTTTGGCCTTTTCATTTTAAAAGGAAATTCCAGAGTTTTGGACTTCAAACAGAAGAGAGTTTCCAAGCACTGGGTAGCTGTAGGAAGTTGTCTTTTCTCTAACAGTTTATGTAAGTGGTACTATTGGTGGATTTAGATTCATAGCCTCAGGTAAGTGTAGGTTTGCTGCGTCTATATTGCCTATCAATTTTGTTTTAGGGGTAGCTGGTAGTGCACGTGCTCCTAGATATATGAATGAACAGTAATGATCTGTCTTACAATAAAAAAAATTACAGCTACTTCCTTTTATAGACTTCCTGAGAATACACTGTGCATCCTCCACTTCCTGCTGGTGTTCTCATGCATTTCCTCTTCAGGATTATATTTGCTGGCAAAAACTTTGATCTCATTGGTGGCTTGGTTACACACTGTGTTCCCCTGAAGACGTGGGTGGTGATTATTCTTTGTGTTGGGTTTATTTTTTGTGTGTTTTCTTTTTTAACTGTGTCTGTGTTCTAAATTGGCTTCTATGTATATGGGAGAAGGTCCGTCTGTTCTCAGAGTCCAAGTATGCCCCTGAATATAGTTGTGTGCTTCACACTAATCTCTCTTGGTTTTGGGTTTGTTGTTTTTTTTTAGCAGCAATTTTATCCTCCTGTCAGGTGAAGTATCTTCTAAGGTACCTAGCCAGACTTGCAAATTAATTGTTATTACTAAGAATAGTAAGTCTTTGTGTCTCTGTGTATATTTTATTGTCCTTCCAGTTTGAAACTAGTACCTAAGTTGGCTTTGTTATTGTGAATTTGTGTAATTTATTTTTTTATTCAATTTATATTGTAGAAATACAGAATGGAATGGAAACTCTTCCACTCTGCTAAAACTTCTATATTCTGCAGTTGCATAAGAAAGATATAATTTCTGTCGCAAAGATACCGGTTTAAATTTCCATGTAGATTGTGACAAAAACAATGAGAATATCAGGAAAGTTTAAGACCGACAAGAGATTCCCGATGCCTTTATTTTGGCTACAAATCCTTTGAAATCTCTTTTTCCTCCTCTGTTCTTTATAGTGTCAAGCAACCCCTTGTGATTGCTCTTCAACCCCTCTTTTCACTGGGTGGATTTTCTGTAATCATCCGTTGACCAGTGCTTGCTTAAAAAGAAAAAAAAAAAAAAAAGTTGTTCGTTTGTAGTTCCTTTTATTTTTATCTGTGCATATTTGTGTGTGTATCTGGACATACTTGGTTCAAATTGGATTTAATCATATCTATATATGTGTGTGTATATACACAATTACATATACGCACATCGAATAATTTTACAGTATTGGGGCTTGAAACTGGTGCTGGCTTGCTAGTTTTATTGGCAGCAGTGGCAATAGGAATGCAAGAAAATAGCGGAACTATGAAATCTTGAAGGTAAGAACTAAATGCCTGAGTCTGATGTGATTAAAATAAAATTGTTTCTATTAGAGTAAAAGCCAATGGATATTTTCCACTGCTGTCTTATGAATGTATCAGAAAGGCTGGATGATGTGCTGGCTATTAAAGATCGTTTCATAGGAGTCGAGACCAGGAAATGGCAATGTCAACTTTGAAACAAAAAAATCACTTTCTAAAATAGTGACATGGGTGAAAATATCCAGCGACTGCAAGACTATTATAAAACCTTCTCCAGATGTTTGCATCAAAGTATACTGGAATTGTAGCATAGCTCAGAATATTTTCATACGAGGAAGCTAATGTTTGTCTGTATTTTTCATCATTATTTTGCCACTGCATATGGAATCCTTTGGATAGATATTTGTGTCGTCATGGTGATTGTAGGGAGGGGGCATGTTTAGCTAGTAAGCTTGGCTGCATAAGGAAACTTCATTGTTTTTATCAGTTCAAATTGTCTAGATAATGGAATTAAATATGCAACAGACGTGATTTATTTTGCCAGCTATCATGTTCTGCATGACAATACTCAGTACTGCCAAGGAACAGAACCTCATCTCCTGAATCCTTGGAGTGGGGGGAGCAATCCTATGGTGAACATTGAAAAATCCTAGTGGGATGCTAGTGCGCTATTTATGAACATATACATACATCTTTAGATGAAATATATAGAAATATATTTGTCTTGGGAGGGGGGGATTTGAAACATGTATACTAGGATGTAATTTCTGCAAGTCCTTGTCTCAGACTGATTTGTTTTAAGCAGCTCCCTGAAGTATGTACACTCTTCTGCATACCTGTTTTGTTGAAAGTACACAGACCTGGCACCATTGTGTTTGCCAGGAGTTCTCTTATCTCCTGCAAGCATTCAAACAAAAGTGTTCTATTGCTCCCTGAGTAATCCATGGGTGATCTTAACATTGAGCAAAAGTCAGAGCAGGAACTTATGTCATATTTCTTAGTGCAGGAGCAGACAGTCTCTGGAAGGAAGGGGAGGCGGGTGGAGCAGGGAGAAGACAGCCACAACTCAAAATAAATAGTTGAAGGGTTGTGAGTGTGTTCATATATGAAAACATTGCATAAGCTTAAGAATGCTGAAATGTAGGGGTAGTACAAACTGAGTTTCATAATATATCCTGGTTTTAATAAAGCTGTTTGTATATAGGCTTTGACATCTGTGTTGTCTTAAAGTAGAGCTCTAAAACCAATCTAGACCCAGTTTCTATTTGCATGTTAATTTTAGCCTCCAGTTCTACAAGGCAAATTTGGCATGTTTTTAAGCATGCAGATAGTCATATTGGGCAACGGGGATTACTAAATACAACATATACTACAGTACCTTGTTGAGAGGGCATCTTTAAGTCTCTGTTGCAACAATTATTACACTTGAGGGGGAGGGGGGAAGGAGTTTTAAAATATCCCAAATAATTAGTAACAGATCTTTGCATGTGCCCCCTCCCCCAAAACAAAACAAAAAACATGTTGCTTCCTGAACTGTTAACTGTTACATTGCCATTATCTTTCAGATTCTCTTGCTTTTTGGTAAGGGGAAAATGGGAAGAAAAAAAAATATTATTTCTGAAAATTAAAGACTTTCCTAATTATTTTTTGTTTCAGTCCTAAAAGTTAGCTTTGTGCCCTGCTTAGAGATACAGTGTAGCCTGCTTAGTTTAATCAAGATCAACACTTCTTTGTTTATAATTTTCTTATACTGTAACTAAAACTATGTCTCAGGCCTGGAAAGGGGAAACATGATGAGTCCCAGACTCAGAGTGGTATCTCTAAATGCTTTAGAGCAATCGGAAACACGTGAGCTTGAATTATATTGTCTGTAGTCTTTAGGTGTATACACAGAATTTCTCTGTGACAGTTAATGACATGGATTTATAGGACATAAAGTAACCTAGTGCTGGGTTTCTATTGCTGCTCAGTCTTGCAATTTCTAGATTAATCTTGCCTAGGGGATTATTCTACTTATTGTACAAGTGTGCACACACACTCGCAGAGCCCGCTACAAAAAAGGGTACAAATTAATGAAGTGCAAAATAGGAAAAAGACTGGTATAGTGTGATAAAATTATTCATTATCATCACATATGTTCTAATGCAACATTCTAAATTTCTTTCAAGATTTAACTGGATGAGGAAAGTTGGGTTTATCTGGCTTTTAAATGAATGGTCAGTGTGCTTGCAAAAAATATGTAAGAGGAAGACCGAAAAGTACTATTTTTAAAATAATTCTGTGTATTAGCTGAAAATAATTCTTCACTAATTTGCACAAACATTTCCTATGCCTCATGAAATGTTCCTAATGCAAGTGGGGAGTCAGGGTTGTGTTCCTAAAAGTGTGCCCCTCTTAATGACTTCTTTTTATCAAGTTTAGGTAGGTGGAAATCACTCGATCTGTGCTGTTGAACTGGCTTTTTGATGCTGAAAAAATACAGTATGTGTGTGGTGCCAGAATTGGTTGGGAACAGGAAAGGCATATTTCGTATCCGTACTAAACGTGTCAGCTTAGTGCATAGAAGACTTGACCCTTGTCAGGTGTTTTGAAGTTAACTGGCTGACTTATGGATTAATCAGTTTAAGACTGAAGCCAACCAGTGACAGGAATGAGCTTTGTTGCGTGAGTGTGTGTGTGTGGCTGTGGTGCAGATTTACAAATTTTTATAATGCTTTCAGTCCGACCGTGAAAGTCTGATGTAAAGCTTATCTCTGATCTCTGGCTATGGCCATACTCGTGGGATCGTGTTTGTGTGTTTGGGGGGAGGGAGATGAATTCTTTAACATTTGACACCTGGCTCTACCAGGTTTCTAGCCCATAGTCTTAGGAACGGCGCTATTCAAGGCATTAATAAAGTTAAAACCCTTAAGCTGTATGGCCAATAGGTCATAAAAACTATTGCTGGGTGTTGTGCTCAGTCTTTCTTTCACAGCTGGATTATCATCCTGACAACTAATTCTTTTTTCTTTTGTCTTTTTTATAGCTGTTGTGAACTTGGACAACTCTGTGGTTGACCTAGAGACCCTTCAAGCCCTGTATGAGAATGTGAGTAATCAGAGGAAGTCCATATAATGTAGGAATATTGTAGGTCCATGTGAAGGTATTTTTCATTTGCATCAGTAATATTCAGAAAGCTTGTAGAACATGTCCTATTTTGAAGTGATTTTATTTTCCCAAAGCAATGAAAATAATAAGCATTTAAATCATATTAATTGCCATTGTGTGTTTTACATAATGCATACATTTTTATATAAGTAACATAATCAACTTCTAAATGACTAAAAAGAAATTGGGTTTGCTCCTTTTTTTTCTTCTTGGGTGGGGCAGTCTTTGGTCAATAGGTATCAGACCTTGCACTCCAGGTCTTTGGCTTCGCTTTGTAACTTCACTAATATAACAATGTTGTTCAATTAAAAAAATTGTTTTAATAACAGCAATCATTCCATTTGTGGAACTGTAGCTTTTAATTATTGTTATTTCGGGGATTCCTCTGAAATAATTTTAACTCTTTGAAAGGAAAAGGATTGCTGTAAGTCAATGAAATGAAAAGCAGTATAAACTGCCAGGGGCTTCATAAATGTTTGGTACTAATCATCAGAGAGTGTTTGACCACCAGGTATGCAAAATCAGGGATTCAGAATATACTCAGGCATGTTCTAAAACCTTACAAAGCCAGTCACATGCAAAATTCAAAAAAAGGGACCTCAGAAGCACGTTTCTGCCTTCAGCTGAGGCCAGTGAGCATTACCCCCTTCTCCGAGCACATTGCCTGGATACATGGAGGTCTGGCTAGGCATCTCTTTAAAGAGCAAAGAGGCTTTCTACTTACCCTCCAAAGAACCTTAAAATATGAAATAAAAAGCTGTGAGCCACAGAATGGCATTGAAGGCCAATGTATGCTATTGTATTGGATTTTTTTATTTCTCTGATGTTATAGGTTTGATAATATGTTAATTACTTTTACACCTTCCAGGTTTTTGGTTTGTAGCTTCTAGCTTTTTATGGCCTACTTTGGAATGATTTGTTGAGTTATGAAATTTCTCTTAAATAATCCACTTTGGGGCCTGAAGAGAGAGATAGTAAGCTCTAGTCCACTTTATAGAAAAAACAAAAAGCTAAAAAAAAAACCCAAAAAACAAAAATCTGACAAGAGCTAGGAAGCCCTTCCACTCTTATTTCATCCCTGAAGAATTAACTCGCTCAACACTGCTCAGGAAGATAATGGTCAAATGGGAAACCTATTCTAACTACCCCAAATCTTTATACTTTAAACACTCCCATCCTTATGCCACAACTTTTCTGGTTTGGCCTGTGTTATTTTTATTTTACATTATTTTTAATCTGCTCCCTTACGCAGCACAGCTATATCCCATTCCATATGTTCTTTAGCATGTAAAAAATTGAAGTAATTTTATATATTACATATGTGCAATTGTGAGAGCTTGTGTTGTGGGAAGTATGGAATAGATACTGCCTTCATGATCAGTTTTTGCATACTTCCTCTTTTATATTGCATAGGAATTTTTTATTTTGGTTTAAAAAAATAGTCCTCCTATGTGGCTAATGTACTAAAGCATTTGAAAAGTATCTTATTCTTAACGTCATCTCCAATATACTTCAGAGTCCCAGTGTAATAGATTACCTGCAAATTTGCAGTTTGTTGAAATAATCAAATGCCATTGTGTTCCTTTTGTCATTACCTTCACTAATCACAGAAAATGTCTAGGAAATATTGTCCCGATTGAGGAAAATATGTTAATCTCTGGTAAGACTCAAAAAGTTGGAATGACTATAATATATTTCTTTGCTTTGAATAGAAGACACATCAGCCCAACTTTATCACTATATTTGCTTGGGTACAAGACAGAGAAAAAAACCACACCCAACCAAAAAATAAACAAAGAACAAAAAAAAAACCCAGTTTATTTGGAGAGAGCTTCATAAGGGGACCTGAATTTTAATCCTGGATCCTTTGTTTGATAAAGCTGTGTCTTGAAAGAAGCATTTTTAAAATTTAATTTTATTTTCTGTTTTTACTTTCAGTCTTTGGTCAAAATGCATCAGACCTTGCATTTGCTTCCCTTGGTAGCTTCACTAATCATAACAATATTGTTCAGTAAAAAAGTGCAAGCAATGGGTGGTACCAGAGAGCCTGGCATGTTTGACTCCTCCCTTATTTCTCAGCCTCATCCTGTGTTGTAAGTGGGGATAACTTTGCCTCATTTGGCTACTTTGTAGCCATTAACTTAATTTTAGTTCTTAGGATTTCTTTATTGGATTGGGATTTTTTTGCTGGATATTTAAATACCACTGTACTAGTTCTCAGCCTTTCTAGTTGATCTCTGTGGAACATATGGGAGCATTTGTTTTACAGTCTTCCCTCAGAATGTAATCATTTTTTCTGATTGCATATGTCTGGCATGGTGCTTTCCCTTCCTAAATGTGAATGAAATTTGGGCAGTCTCCAAACCTAAACACACCCTAATTTCAAAAGCCACAGTCCCGAGGGCTCAATTCCTGTTTACTGAGGAATTAAAGTCTTGTTAAACCACAAAGTTACTGTATACATCTTAGTGACTTTTTATAAATGAGGAAACCCACACCCCACCAAAGACCCAAGCCCTCAATAATATATTTAATAGTATTAAGTGGTACTGCATCAAGTGAGGAGGACTTTGTTACTGCAGCACTGTATGGTACAGTCACATAGTTCTTACACATGGTTTTGTAGTTTGCTTTATAAAAAGTTGTTTAAACATGTATTGATAATCAGCTATGTATTAAGATCTAAACAATTTTAATAGGAGAGTCTTAATAGATAAAACTACACGTAGAACAGTTACCTTAATATGCTTTTACAAACTCCCTAATAGCTGCCACCTGAAAGCATCGCTATAGTTAGAGAGGGAGAAGGTAGATAAAATTCAGCTGATTTGTCAATTTGCTATATGTGGTTAGGCCATATTGGTTGTGATGAGAAATGTACTTATTCACAAATAAGTGAATGTTTACTTTGAAAACAGGTAGCCTCTTAGCAGCTGAGATTGTACCTAAAATGTCACTGTTTGAAACATAAGCCTGCTCTGGCTTATGTCTTCACTATACTGTGAAAATAAGAGTATAAAAATGGATTAAAAACTGTATCAAAGGATTACCTTTGATCTATGGATTTGCCCTTTTCAAATCTCTTTACATCACAAAATGAAACGTGTATACTTTCTTAATTTGACTCCTGGTAAATTGTCCACCCTGTCTCTATCTTTAAAAGGCTTAGGTCAACGCTTTCAAAAACCTCAAAATGCTATTTGCAAGAGCAAAAGACACCCGGTCCTGAAGTGCATGCCTCCACTCTGCCACTAAGATTCAAACCTTCTCCTCAATTATTTCTTGTGATTTTTTTTAAAAAAACTGGCAGTTACAATGCGATGTCTTAACGTTTTTCTGCAAAGACTATAGATTGTACCTGACTTCTGATACATGACCCAGCTTCAAAGGAATATGATAGTTGTTATTAACCTGGGTATGTCTGTATATCCTTGTTGTTTCAGTTACTTTTGACGTTCTTCAGAAAAGTCACTCGATGCTTTTGAAATATGTAACATTAACTTTGAAAATCAAGTTGACCTAAAAAAATCCACCCCAAAATTAAAAAACCTACACACATTTAAATTGGTCTAAACTCAGAGCTAAGATTCTGTTGCAAGGGAAAAAAACTAACCAGGAAATGTTAGATTTATGTTGTGAAATGGAAAAAATAGCCCCTATGAACTTTGGTAAGACTAAATACAGGGTAAGTTTATAGTCTGGCAAAAGTGGGAAAAGAGTTAAACTAAAGCAGTGTGTTTTTTGCAGTAATTTCTATCAGATTTATGCTGTCTGATTTTAGATATAGTTAATATCAAATTCTGGTATACTATACTGTTTTGTTCCATTTATGATTCTATATAATAGCTAAAATTCAAGGAAATAAATAGCAGTGACATTCAAAGAGGTGCTAATGCAATCAGATTAATGACTTTTATGAGAAGTATCTATTGAATGTGTTCTCTCTTGACACAAATGTTGGATGGTAATATAAAGGGGTTTTTTTATTATCCATCTGCAAATTAAAGAATAGATAAACATTAACCGTAAAGCTAGCTGGTAAAAATTCTGAGAAACAATCTTCAATAATACCTGTGCAGAAGGCGTGTCAGCCTTATTCCTTTTCTATCATAATTTAAAATACACATAAATCAGAATTCTGGATACCAGAGCCAAAATTAGTGACTTGAAACTCAGGTTGGATTCTGAACTTGCACCATATACTTGGACCTCTTGATTTTGATAGAGAGTGTAAGCCGTATCTCTTGAGTTTTGCTCAGGCCTACCCACGAGTGGATCATGCTTAGACATTGTATCTTTGCCAGTTGTTATTTCTTTGCATACACAATCTGAGAATAATGGCTTAAATAAGGAATAGTGAGTCTGCCTAACATTTGCCCATGGGATTTGGTGGAGAAATATTAACAGCTTCAACATGCATCTATATAATAGATTGCTGTGATAAGCACTCTAATACTTCACGATGTGTAGAAGGCCAGAAGAGAGAGTACTCTTGCTATTTATTCTAAAGAATATGCAAATAACCATTTAGCTTTATGCTCCTTGCTAAAATATTTTCTCCTCTTTAACTATTATGAAAAATTTTCAATATGAAAATTTTCAATATGAACTGATTTCCTTTCAGTTTTGTTGTGGTTTAACCCAGTAGGCAGCTAAATACCACACAGCCATTTGCTCACTCCCCTCCCCCAGTGGGATGGGGGAGAGAATCGGAAAAAGGGTAAAACTTGTGGGTTGAGATAAAGACAATTTAATAGGATAGAAAAGGAAGGGAAAATAATAATAATGATAAAAGAATATACAAAACAAGTGATCCACAATGCAATTGCTCACCACCTGCTGACCAATACCTAGCCAGTTCCCAAGCAACGGCCCCACCCCCTTGGCCAACCTCCCCATTTTTTTGCTCAGCATGATGTCATATGGTATGGAATATCCCT